TTATTTTGAAAATTTAGAAACAAAAAACTAGGTCAAACAAAATAAGGAGTACACGTGTTTTTATTTTCTAGTTTCAACAATTATCGACTCATGGTCTGTCTCATTTCATCTCCCTGTTCGGTTTTATGTGTAAAAACTACCTTACATTGTTTGAAATATTTTCATCAACAATATCTCCTTTGATTTTTATAACAACTATAAAAAAGGTAGGTTATGGAGTTTTGCAGGAAAATCCAACTTCTGACAAATTACTATCTTAATGCATATGTCAATTTTTGAAATAGGAAGGGGAACATAAAAGATGCCAATATGCCTTATGCATGCTTTTTGGGGGGTTTGTGCGTTCTAGTTCACTAGTAAAAGGAAAAAGAGGAACACTGCCATGTTATAGCCTTAGCTCTTATTCAAACTGAATGGATTATTTTAAAATAAAATTGTTAGGGTTAAGTGCCAAGTTCTACTTCTCTAGAAAATCAGGTACTGAATAACCTTGATCCTAACCCATCCTATAAAAATGGGATCTTACTGAACAAACTACCTCTATAATCACATTTGGTAACAATAGCTGCAAATGTCTGAAATTTTAAGAAAGCATTCTAATTTAAAACAATTTGGGGCCAAAAGTGATATATGTAGAGATTCAGATGTATGAAAATAAAACAAACCAAATGAGCCCTTTAATTTGTGGTTTGAATGTCATTTTTCTGACATTTGGCAATGAAAATATGGGGCTATTAGAACTATTTATTTTGACATCATTGTTTTGCATAATGTCATCTGATATTTTAACAAAGAGTATTTACGTTCACATGCGTGTGAGTATTGACTACTAGTACTTTCCATTAGATCATTACTCAATATGAAATAGTTCTGACTCTGGTCTGGTCTGGTCTGGTCTGGTTTGTATGATCACATTAGTATCATATAGGTATTTACAAATACTTAATTGTGTAGTTTTTTTTCTTGCTTTCTTTCCTGCTTGACTAAGAATACCAAGGATGTCCCCAATGCTCACTTGAAGGTTGATTTAGTCACAGGAGAAAACCCCAGGCTCAAATGTCAAATGGTATCAGTTCGATACACTGCACTAATCAGGCCAAAATCGTTGTGCTGCAGAAGTTACAGTTGCATATTACTCATCACTGGCAAATGTAATGTTTAGTGATTGTGCATGCTTTTTGTTAACTCCCCAGATGGGATTTTTTTTCACCTTTGTATACTTGAGAACAGCAACTGAATGCTGAAATGCAATGTCTGGTGCCAGCAATCCACAGATTCATTAGTACAGACGAAGCAATGCTCACTTTGTTACACCAATAATTAGAGAGATTAAATGAAAATAAACACTGAGAAGATGTGCAGACACTCTGAAGTTAGGTAATTATTTTAATTACTCTAGCGACTTCCACAACCTTCATTATCAGCCACAGATCAAATTTAAATTGTTTTATGTAAGATTATCAAAAGGTATATGGAAAAGTACTGTGGCTACCCAGTGATTCTGCTTCATAAAAATGACATTTTCCTCAAGCTCCCACTTAAAGTCATTTCCATTCCAGTCTGATAAACTCTCTACATATTTTAAATGCATGATAGATTTTTTGCGCTTAAAAGTGGTTTTGTTCTTCAAATGGACATTCTTAACAATAACTTCTGTTACTTTAGATTTTTATTTAGAGTTTATCATAAGGGATTTGGGGGTACATTTCTGAGTTATTGAATGTAAAATAATATGCATATTCAGTCATTTGAAATACATGTCAGTTGGAATCATGTCATCCTTACTGTATAACTTGTATTTGGGCCAAATTGATTTCTTCTTTCTTCTCCCTATACCAACTCAGGAAGACTCTAACACACACCCCAATAGGAATCACTTTCCCTATGGTGGGGAGCACCATTATAATGCATTACTTTAGAATACGTACCATTTTTTAGTCATTGTGATTCATAGAGATCCCCTGGGTTAACTGTCTCTATGTATTACCTGCTCTTCTGGAAAATGCTTATTCCACTTAATCATTTCAAGATTAAGATTCCCATGAAGACATGAATGTATATGGGGGACTGTGTGGAGGGGGTCATCACAAGGAGAGAGAGGGCATGCAGGATGAAAGGACAGAAAGATGCTCCATATATACACATAGGGATACCATAATGAAACCCACCAAATGCTGTTTGAAAAGGAGAGGGGAATGGTAATATAATGGAGGGATGAATGTGGTCAAAGTTCACTGTATGCATGTATGGAATTATTACAATGAAACTCCCTCATATTATTAACATATGCTAATTGAAAAATAAAACAAATTTAAATAATATTTTTAAAAGATTCCCATGGAGTATATATTAGCACCTCCATTTTCCAGATAAGGAGTCTGAGCCTTTGAGAGACTCAAGGACTTTCTAAAGCTGCACGAGTAGACAGTAGCCTAGCTGGGAATCAAACCCAGGTCTGCCTGACTCCAAGAACCAAGAGGCCCCCAGAAAGTTGAGGTAAGCCTGGGTGCAAATGCTAACTAAGGATAATAGGGGAAATGGAGTGATTTTAGCTAAGCTAAAATCTCAAATTAAATAGCCCTGGTTCCTGGAGAAGACACAATAGGGGAGTAAGTTTTCTGATAGTGGAACTAACCAGGAGATAGAGCCACACTAACAAAGGTTCGTGATGCTTTTTAACACAATTTGGTAACCACTTGACTTTTACTCTGGCTAAAAGGAAGCATTTCTCCTCAACCAAATTTTTAAAATCCAACAGAATGAAGCAGACTTCAGTAACCTTTGTGGGGTGGGGGAGCTTAGGTTTATGTGCTGCCTTCTTGCTTTTAAGGAAAGCCAGTACTGACTTCTATCCCTCCATAATGACGCTGGTTTGCACACCAAGGCCAGAGCAGGGCAGGATTTCCCCAGGTTATTACATTCAGGACGCATTAGGCCATTGAGAACACAGGTTGGGGACTTAAGGAGTCTTTGTTTCCCAATTTAAGATGCACTAATCTACAGACTTTAAAGTATGAATTGTGGGTGGCATAGGGAAATTGGGACGGAAGACTAGCCTTATGTGGCTGTCTGAGAAGTTAGGGAAATTGACAGATTCGCAAGCCGGGATAATGAGCAGGAGGTCAAGGTCAGAGCTGGGTAAAGAGGAGCCACAGAAAGGCTGGGCTGGCATCGACCCCAGAGCTACACTGTGCGCTCTGAGGACGCGCAGTAGGAGGGATTTATTTGTGAAGGAGAAAGGCAGATAAAATGGACTTAGAAATTATTTGTCTGGGGCGAGGCGCCCGAATGTAGAGTCCACTAGCTTTGCGAGCACCTTCATAGGACGTGCCTAGAAGCATGGCTCCTCTTCTTTATTCTTCCAAGAGTGCCAGGATTCAGCCAAAGGGTCCGCTAGATGGAAAAGTCAAAACTAAACGCCACAGTTTACTTGATGTCGTCCAGACACTGTCATGATTCTACAAGTCATCGTACACTGCTTGATTTTGATGGCTCGGAGCTTTTATCTAACAAGGCCAATCCCGCCCTGTCGGGTTGCATAGGGAGTGATTTCTGCAGGCCACGCAGTGAGGAAGCACGGGCCTTATGTACTCAGGGACCTCTTTCCACTTTGCCACTTGTCACTGACCGCGGAGAAACAAATCCCTTTAAGCCCCGACCCTCAGCGTCCTCATCCAGAAAGTGAAGGGGATTCTCAGGCCTTCTTAAAAGAATCGTGTTGGTGGTGGGAGGAAAATGGGTGTGACAAATGTCATAATTCTAGTGACAGCAAACTGGGATGGGGCTGTGGCTTCAAATTGCTGAAGAAAAAGAAGTTAAACATACTCAGCTGGAGTTTTCAGAATTTCTAAATGAACTGTGGTCGGTCAGATTGCTTCATTCTTGTGGGCTGCCTCTCATATCCTACACCTAAGCGAGGCACCCCTCCACCTCGCGTAGGCTTCGATCGATTTCTGCTTTTTAAGTGAAAGCATTTTTTGTTGCCGCTGTTCCGTACACCAAGAGAAGGGATGGGTCCCTTGGCCTCTGCTCTCACCCACCACCCTAGGTCTCCCGAGTTTTCCGCACGTGAATGCGTTTTTCTGGTTGATCTCCAAAGACCTTGCAGTATTTTAGAAAGCTGAGCGGGTGCGGAGATCGGAGACCGAGCATCATCCCCTCCCCGAGGTCGTGCAGCCCGCGGGGCCCCTCCCCGGCTCCCCTTCGGCGGTGCAGCAGCCGCCTCCCAGCCGGCGCGCGGGGCGGTCCGCGCAGACCCCGCGGAGAGCCAGGGCCCCCTCCCGCCCGGCGCTCGCAGCCCCTCTCCGCCAGTAGCAGCGCTGCTGTCTTCCCACAGGACCGGGAGGACGCTGGAGCCTGCAGCGCCCCCGCCCCCTCGCTTTTTCTTTCTTTCCTTGCTTTGGGATCTTGCTGCCGGAGCCGCGCGAGGTTCTGAGAAGAAAAGAGCGAGGGACCGGAGCCCAGGCTTCTGCTGCGGCGCGGGAACAGAGCTGCTAAGGGGACACAACATCCGCCGTGTACCCCGGGTCCTCGCCACCCTGGCAGCAATGTGAGGAAGGCAAGCCTGCCTTGGAAGAGGTCCCAGGGAGCAAATCGGAGGTCCGCAGCGTCGCGGGACGGGAGCGGCGAGGAACCCAGGCTCCCAGTCTTTGGCAAGAGCACAGTGGAGCTCCCCACCCTCCCCGCACTCTGCACAACTCCGGGGCCACCAGCGCGCGACTCGACCGAGTCCCACTTCCCGCCGACTCGCCCGGAGGGAGGGCGGCACCTGCCCGCCAGCCCGCACCCCTGGTAGTTTTAGCTTTCCCCGCACCTGCGTGATCCCCCACGCCCAGGTGGCGAGCTCTGTGGCTCTTGATCCCCGCAGCGCCCCTGATCCGATGGAAAGCGCGCCCTCCGAAGCTCCCTAATCGCTGGCGCCACCGCCGTCCAAGCTGCGCACTGGGGTTCCCCCGGCTAGTCCCCTTGTGGGGCGTGCGAGAGACCGGGGAACGCGCGCCATGAAGTCCGTGCTGTTCAGCCGCTTCTTCATCCTCCTGCCCTGGATCTTAATCGTCATCATCATGCTCGACGTGGACACGCGCAGGCCTGCGCTCCCTCTCACCCCGCGCCCGTACTTCTCTCCCTACGCGGTGAGCCGCGGAGGGGCCCGAGTCCCGCTCCGAAGGGGCAGCCCGGGGCGCGATGCGGCCAAGCGCAACGAGTCTCGGCCACGGCCGCACCCCGAGCCGCCGCTGCCCACCATCTATGCCATCACGCCCACCTACAGCCGCCCGGTGCAGAAAGCCGAGCTGACCCGCCTGGCCAACACGTTCCGCCAGGTGGCGCAGCTGCACTGGATCCTGGTGGAGGACGCGGTGGCGCGCAGCGAGCTGGTGAGCCGCTTCCTGGCGCGGGCCGGGCTGCCCAACACGCACCTGCACGTGCCCACGCCGCGGCGCTACAAGCGCCCGGGGCTGCCGCGCGCCACCGAGCAGCGCAACGCGGGCCTCGCCTGGCTGCGCCAGCGGCACCAGCACCAGCGCGCGCAGCCGGGCGTGCTCTTCTTCGCCGACGATGACAACACCTACAGCCTGGAGCTCTTTCAGGAGGTAGCGGCCGGTCCGCCCCCCTGGGGTCAAGGGCGGGAGGGGCCCGGGGCCGGCTGGGCTAAGGCCGCGCTCGCTGTGCGCTTCGGCTGCACTTTGGAGTTCCCAGTCTTCGGGGCGCGCATAGGTCTCAGCGCCGAACCGCTCCTCGCAGGCAGTCCGCAGCTGTGCGGGGTGGTACAGGGGGTGAGGACTGGTGTGGCATGCGGGGACGGAGTCTGCCCTGGGTTTTCTGGGACCAAGATCGGCCAAGGAAATAGCACAGGTGGTTTGCAGGGACCGGGCCCCGACCTGCTTGAGGATGGAGCCCAGAATGGGAGGCAGGCTTGGTGTAGGTGCAGAATGGTGTAGGGAGAAAGGTGATGTCGGTAACTAAAAGTCAGCCGAGGTACAGTCTCCTAGTATGGAAATGGTTGCTAGGGAAAACACTTCTCACACTCCACAGGAAAAAAAAAAAGATCTTTTCTGCCCCTGAAAATGACCTCTTTGTCAAAGAAACCGTGTCTGGATGCGTTGGGATTGTTTTTCCCTGTGGTTGTGTTTCTGCAGCCCAGGGCATCATCTGGCTTGCCTGACCCCTTTTCCTGACCTTTCCCTAAGACCTCTATCTGGCATGGTGAAGTAGACAGGCCGCACTCGTACTGGCCTCTTGCTTCAGGGGCTCTCTGTGAGATCCCGTGTGCAGCCTGTGGCTCCTGCTGCTGAGGTGCTATGTGTGTTGCAGGGAAAGCCACCACACACACTACCTGCAAGCATGGGGTCAGAACCTGTGGAGTCGCTTGAGGCCGCTGTTTTGCAGTGGGGTTGTGGGGAGTCTGCATAGGAGACGAGTGGGGGTTTTCCAGTTTTCATCTTCCCCATAGGGTTAGAGCTGAAGGAAATCTGGATTTGTCTATGGGACTGTTGCAGTTCCTCCACCTGAAAATCCCTGGCATCCTGCTCCTAGAGGCTCTGCATCGTCCCCTTCCCCAAGTAAACTGGACATTGAGAATGTGTGAGCTATGCACTAAACTTGTAAAATAATCTGTCTAGTAATCCAATATCCTAAGTGTCCCCTACTCTCCCCCACACTTTCATTCTTATCTCAGTACAGTTTGCTTTCTTAACCTCAGTACAGTTTCTCTGTCCCCTTCCTGTTTAATTTTTGTCTGTGTGGTCTTCAAAACTGCATTTCTTAAAGTTAACTGCTGCCTTCATTTCTGTTTATCCTCTCCTTCCTGAATAAGAGGAATAGTAATTGTTCTTTTTTTCATCCTCTCACTGCATGGGGCTTCCTGTCCATGTTTCTTCAGAGAAATAAGCTTGGTAGAGTTAGTACAGTCTTTATTATAACCATGATTACAGTTATTATCTGATTGTTTTAAAGTCGGGCTTTTATTTTAAAGTTGGCCTGTTTCAATGCTCTTTTCCCTGAAAGAAGTGGCTTTACATATTCTGAAGCAAACCATTTCAATGCTCAGAATTTTAAAAACAAGTCTTTTTTTTCCTCCTTGTCCAACTTGGAAGTTGCCTTATCTGTAAAAATGTGTGTTCTTTGTTTAAGTAAAATAATACACATCCCTGTTAATTAACATTTGATGGGGCTAGATTGAGAAAAATATCATCTTCCCAGCGTTTTTTGCCTGTTGGGGTGAGGTGGGGAAGAGTGAAGCTGGCACATGCCACAGTGAAACATTCAGAATACAGTCTTCCTTTGATGCTTCCCGAGCTGAAAGGAGGGCTTGTTGGGGAGGTTATTAAGAAGCAGGAGAAAAATCAGTAGTTTTTTTTTTTTCTCCCCATTGGTCAGTGGAGAGAGATCAGGTGAAGATAAAAAGAAGAGGAGAGGATAGGAAGAAAAAAACAGTATTGACAAAGAGGAAATTATAAAGAAAAGTTATGCACGATTTTTAAGACACTAAAATTTTGCATAGTTGGAAGTAATGAAATAATCAAAATAAATATTTTGTGCTACTTTTTATGGGGAGGTGCTAACTATACAAATGTCACAACAGATTTATTGTTTACTTTGCTGAACAAAGTTTAAGTATAATATACACATTTAGAATGTACGTTCTCCATCTCCTTAACTTTAATTTCATGACGAATATGTTTCTCCACCACTGCCCACAGTTCTCTTCCCCCCCAGCCATAATGTTTTTGCACACATTAGGCCTTTGTTTGTCATGAATGTTTTACATTTAGTTTTTCTTGTTACAACTTTTTGTCCTTGCGTGGCAAGCAGCATTGAACTTGATTAGTGGAGTTTATGCATTCTTAGTCTGTGCATTTTCCAGAATTTGAAGTTCATTTTTCCTTTAAACCTTAGTTTCCTTAATAGGCTGGTCTGCCACACACCATACTGGAATTAATGATTCTATGTGGACTAAAAGATAGGATCCAGTAAAACACTTGAAAGCAGCATCGTCTTGGGGGAAGGAGAAGATTCTGATCACAGATACTACAGGGCTTAGGCGTATGTCTCTGTCCTGCATGACGCGCACACACAAATTAGTTTTTAAGTAATTCACAGTACTTGAGGAAAAAATGTCCCAAGTCAGTCTTCATCTTTTATTCTAGTGCTTCTAATTTCCATGGTTGACGTTAAAGTAGATAAGATAAAAGGAGGAAATGAACCAGGTACAAATTAGCTCACTGAGTATTGGCTGCAAATGAAGGAAAGGAAAGGATGAAAGGTCTCCAAATTAAATTAAAGACGCAACAGGCAATCTGTGTTCAATTATTCCTCCCTGGTAACTGGAATAAGGCTTTTTTCCTCCATACAGCTAATTTTCAGCTTCCCTTTTCAACTGAGTTGTGCTGCCAGGAAAGAAATATTTTCACTGAACAGCCCTGTGTGAACTACCAATTTCATTTGCAAATTAAGTTGGTTGTGAGTCCTAGCCACCAAAACTGTCCACCGTGACAAGAAGGTAATAGGTTTTTTTTTTTTTTTTTTCAGGTTTCAAGCATCTGAGAGCTACTCCGGTTATTTCTGTGGCATTGATAGGGTTTGCACCCTGGATCACTGGTAATCCTGCCCAAGCAAGAAGCAAAACACACTAAAAAAAAAAAAAAAAGAAAAGAAAATCAACCTTTATGAGATAGACTGGAAGACAAGCCAACTCAGACTTTTCAGATCCCCTGAAAAGAATTACTTAATGAGGCTGCTTCTTGAAGATGTTTCTGGAAGGCAGTGAGCTAGCATAAAGAGGTCCCACATCTGAATTTTGTTTTGGGCACTGTTAAGCTGTGTGTGCTAGGCAGATGAAGCAGTTGAGACTTCATTTTGTCTTGGTTCTTTTCTGAAGAATGTGTGTGCTTCCTCTTATTCATGCTGCTCACTGGCACCATAATCCACAGGACATTTGAGTTTACAGTGCTTGGCACTTTCTCCCCTAAATAGAAACTCTGTGTGGATCCTGATTTGCTTTGCTTTTACCCCTGGTCCCGTTACTTCACTTAGGGTGACTACCTTCTTAAAGAAACCCAGACTAGTCTCTTAGATGTAGCCTAAAAAGACCACCTGAAATGTTCCCCTTTATTTTCTTTCTTCTCCTTTGAAAGCATATTGATAGTCATGCCATAGATCTGGCAAAATGTGAGAGTTTTATTAAAAAGTATATAGAAAAGTACAGCCAGTTTTCTTAGGCTATAAATGTTAGATCTATAGATTTTCTTTACTCTCTCTGCGTGTATATTACTTTGAATCATGGCTTATTTTTAATGGTTTTCATTTGGATTTTGGTATTTTAATGGGCCAGAAATAACAATTTCTGTCTAAAAGACATTCCCCGATCAGCCTCTCTCTATTGTCTTTTTCTATCAGTCCTCTTCCATCACCTTCCTTTTCAATGACCATTCTCTCATGAATAAGCATGAAGACATGTCCAGATTATTGCTCGATGCAATGAATGTTGTCTTTTAAGTATTTAGGCTGGCTTTTTCTTCCTGGAAACTATAGTGGGTGACTCCATTTTCTTCTGTCTACTCCACTTGCCTCTAAATTACGAGCTGGTAAATTTTTTCTTGTGTGAACAGTCATGGAATAGTAATTGCTTTTAAGGCAGGCTGCAAAAAGCAAAATAGAAGAACCAAAGTCTATGGTCTTATTTATTAGCTATTCCAGGTAGTATTCAGGTATTCGTGTGTGTGTGTGTGTGTGTGTGTGTCACAGAATTGAAAAATGTTCAGATAGAACTACTCAGACCTTTTGGAATATTTGCTCAGTTGGTTAAGATAGCACATTCTTGTATGTTTGATTCACAGCACTATTGAAGGATAAAATTTTACATCTTGCATGATTCTCAAATTCTTCCCCCCAAACATGTTCTGACAGTCCACAGGTAAGTAGGGAGGATGGTTACATTTCCAATTTACAGAAATAAAACTAAAGTAATTCATTCTTTTATTCATGCCTGGTAATTTTTTGTGTACAACTTTAAATAATTGTAAAAAACTACCCTATACACAGACACCAGCAAAATAAAATATAGTTGACATCAATTGAGTACTTTCTGTGGGTGAGAATTCACCCTTAGGGTTTTGCTTACATCCCCTTCAGCTCACCTTACCTACTGAGATAGGTATGAGTACTGTCTGCCCCCAGTGCCTTCCCAATACTCTTACTGAGGTCTGAGCACGGTCCTTTGGTGAGTGAAGGAATTTAAACAAGTGCAAGCTGACTGTGGTGTCATGTTTACTACTAATCATAAGATTAGTAACCCCCCCTCCTGCCCCTTTTTGGTGCTACTGTGTTTTCAACTCATCTTCAAGTTTGCTAGGCAGGTTCTTTACCACTTGAGCCACTTTTTGTTTTAGTTATTTTTCAGATAGGGTCTTGCCTGATTTGTTTGTTTGTTTGTTTGATTTTGGTGCTGGGAATTGAATCCCAGGCCTCATGAATGCTAGGTAATTGCTTTACTACTGAGCTATACCCTCAGCCCCTTTCTTCTTCTCTTCTTCCTCTTCCTTTTCTTCACTGTTAACTATTTTAAATAGACAGAAGTTTTATACATTTATGG